TTTGTATGGCAGGCCCCGCAGTTTGTTCATGTCTTGAGGAAATTTTTTTCACTTTTGTACAGTTGTAGGAGAGAATCTGTTGCCTTCTGGTCGGAGAGTTACGGAGGAAAAAATAGAACACAGACAGACACAAGAAAATGAAGTTGAGTAACAGGTACATATATACCTGTCATGACACGCTGGAATCAGGCACTGGTCAATTTTTGGGCATATAGAGTTATTGGTATAATCTTACAGAGGAATGAAAAAAAAGAAGAAGAAGAAGAAAGCTTATCATATTTTTTTGTTCCACATACATACATTTCCTGTCACGTTTGGTTCTCCTGTGACTTGCATTATCATTGTTGGAAACTCGTGACAGCAATGCATCAATACTTGTCAACGGAGACTCAATCATCTTTTTTTTTAGTGAATTATATTTGTACATTTCACAGGATTTTGCATTTATATACGTATAGTATGGGTCCAACTACAGTTGTGGAGTCATGTCACTTGGCAAAATCACAACGAGCGAGGGACGTAGAAGAGTTCCGGTGTTGAAAACGGAATAGTGCAGAGTGTTGGGTGAGGGGACAGACGAAATGTTCTGATTTAATTCCCCTGAATTTTTTTCGGAAAAACAAACCATTGGGATTTCCCTGATTTTGTGGCACTCTGGTCCAGAACCCCAATGAGAAGCAGACGACAGTGTCAAGTGAAATGTAAGACGCAGGCAACAGTGGCATTGTGTCCGTGACGAGACGGCTTTTTTTACGTCACTGATAGCAAATTTTGTTTTTATAGAGAGATTTTTGGTAACTTCATCGCAACCTTCATTGTATTGAGTGGTGATTTTTTTCCTTCTCAAAGAATTCCTGTGGAGTGGTCCATCATTATGTGGACCGTGTACTCAATCGGTGGACATGTTGGAACTTTGACATAATGTGGTTTTTTGGACAGTTTTTTTCTTATTATTGTATACCACCCAATTTTTGTATGTTTTTTGTTTTTTTTTAATCTTTGATGTTTTATTTGAATGTGACTGTTGAGTTTGAGACTTTATTGGTGAAATGTTGAGGAGTGTTTGTGTTTGTGCCACAGTGGCTGTCTACTAACGAGGTCTTGGGGTCAGAGTCGACGTCTCTGAAGGAGGCCGTGCTTGAGAATCAAGCCATAAATTTACAGGTATTACATGTGGATTGATAACAACAAATAACAACATGAATTACTTGAAACTATTTGAAACTGTGTAACACTCCTCACAAATAGTGACAGCGTGCATCATCATAAACTATTTCATGTCCAACATCTGTTTGATGTTGTGAGTGTGAGAGATTTCTGAAATGTGGCCCTGTCTCATAATGCTACACAATATCTCAGCACCTCAGACAGGTTCTGTCTCATGCGTCGTCAGGTTCTGTCTCGTGCGTCGTCAAGCTACACACACACACACAGTTGCCAGTCTCTGCTGGCTGTGATGGTGCAACGATTCAGGGACAGAATGGTTGGGAAGAAAACGAAGGACTTGATATTTGTGGAAAAACTTATTTTAAGTCAGAGTGGGGGAGGGGGGGAGGGGGGCGGGATGTCTAGCTTAATGCTATCTTTGTAATGCTATTACCAGGATTTGGAGAAGCTGTTGGAATGTACATGGAGAATGTTAGCTCAGTTCTGTAATGTACATGGAGAATGTTAGCTCAGTTCTGTAATGTACATGCATGGAGAATGCTAGCTCAGTTCTGTAACAGACATGAAACATGTTAGCTCAGTTCTGTAATGTACATGAAACATGCTAGTTCAGTTCTGTAACAGACATGGATAATGTCAGCTCAGTTCTGTACTAGACATGAAACATGCTAGTTCAGTTCTGTAACAGACATGAAGCATGTTAGCTCAGTTCTGTAATGTACATGGATAATGTTAGCTCAGTTCTGTAATGTACATGAAATATGTCAGCTCAGTTCTGTACTAGACATGAAACATGCTAGTTCAGTTCTGTAACAGACATGAAGCATGTTAGCTCAGTTCTGTAATGTACATGAAATATGTTAGCTCAGTTCTGTAATGTACATGAAATATGTTAGCTCAGTTCTGTAATGTACATGGATAATGTTAGCTCAGTTCTGTAATGTACATGAAACATGTCAGCTCAGTTCTGTACTAGACATGAGACATGCTAGTTCAGTTCTGTAACAGACATGAAGCATGTTAGCTCAGTTCTGTAATGTACATGGATAATGTTAGCTCAGTTCTGTAATGTACATGAAACATGTCAGCTCAGTTCTGTACTAGACATGAGACATGCTAGTTCAGTTCTGTAACAGACATGAAGCATGTTAGCTCAGTTCTGTAATGTACATGAAATATGTTAGCTCAGTTCTGTAATGTACATGAAATATGTTAGCTCAGTTCTGTAATGTACATGGACTGTTGTTTTCCAAGGAGGCAGAAAATAAGGGCTCTTTTCGTTTGTTCAGCATGGAGGAGTGAAACTTGACCTAAAAAAACTTTGTCCGGATCGGATCTGAACAAACTTTGATCTCTGCAGCCAGCAAGTTGTTCTCAGGTTTTGTTTTGCCTATGCATTCTTTTCTTGTTTTGTTTGTTTTTTTCTTCATTTAAGAAAAAAAGGCTTTATTCTTTCTTTCTGTGTTTGAGAATTTTATTTACCACCCTGTTCATGCAATCTTTCTTCTCCGGTCACGCTGGTCTGTTCAGAACCGCTGCCTGTCGCTCTCCCTTTTTCCCGTATGACCTCTCGGTCGTGCTAGGTAGACTTTTTCTCGTAATATTCAAAGATGCAGCTAGACTCTACGGATGATATCGCCGACGAAATATTGACCATACGAAAACTGTCAATTCACTTACTTTTGTTAGCAGTTGTTGAATGTTTTGTGAATTCTTTCTCAAAATTCTTTGACTTTGAGCAAGTTTCGATCATTGACTGAGACTAGTATAGTCTTGACCCTACCAATACCTCTTATATCAAACTTTTGTTTTTCCCTCTCATAACCTCAATTTTTTCTGTCAGATTCTTTTGATTTGCACTGAGGCAGCTGTGAAGCGACATAAATGGTGGAGGATTCTGTGATGTTGACAGCTTGGAAAAGTCTTTGTTCATGTGACGTAGAATGTTTACGATGTAGTTGTTAGGTTCTTTGCCTCAGAAAAGGAAAGGACTGGAGTTTGTTTCCTGTTTGAAATGATCAAGATATTTTAATTTTTGTTTTCTTCATCTCTCCATTTTTGGTAGCAGAGTACTAGATCTAGTACTGAGCTCTGATGGGAATCTCTTCATTAGTGTCACGTAGATTTTGCTGAGAGGAAAAGGAAAATGTTACATCAATGACAGAAAGTGGACGAGAGTCCCCCCACTGTTGCTGTGGGCTCGTGGGGATGGGGGATTTGTCCGATGGTGAGAGCTGAAATGAAAGTAGGATACTGAGAGCAGTTTGTCATGTAGTTGTGAACATTTTCCAAAGCCCATATATATAACATAATGGTTCAGGGAAGAGAAATATCTCTTTCTTTCTTTTTATTTGTACAAAACTTTTGTACTTGTTTCGTGTATCTTTGCTTGCTTTTTTCTACTTTTTTAGAATTTGAATTTTGACAAAACATTTCTTGACCACGTACAACCAATACAACAAATTATAAGAAACTGCAATTTTTGAAAAAAACAATGTTCAAAATTTTGAGGTATAAAGTAATTTGATGAAGTGGCGAGGAAATGGTAGCATTGACAAGACACTTTTTGTCTCCGATTCTTCATCCATCGCCAGTAGTGGGCGTTTTCTTCTGATGTCTTGTTGATGACCTTGTTAAATGCTTAATTACGTGTTGAGTAGCGTCAATGTCCATGCTATGTTCCCAGTTCCTTTTTCTGTGATACTCCACGTGACGGGGCTCGGTGGAATCAGGCGCTCGTAAATTTGTTAGGCATGTGGAGTTGTTCTATTGGTATAATATTGGTATTGGTATAAAATTGGTATTGGTATAATCTTAAAAGTTTGTTCATTTGGGTCCCTTTTAATGAAAAAATACCCGTCTACCTTATTCAATAGAGGGCCAGACATTTGCTAGTAAAGGAGGTGGGGGTTGACCAGTGTCAGGTAAAATTAGCCAGAAAATGGCCGCCAAAGATTTGTGACTTCCAAAGCTGGAGAATCATTGGAAACAGCAAAGTTACATTTTTTGTACCTCTGGTCAGCTTTTTTCAGTTAAGTCCACACAGGGGTGAGTTTTTAAATGACCATAACAGGTGGTAAACCAAACAACAAACAAACAAAAACTTACAATAGAAATTGCCCAATAAGCAACAAAAAAAATGTCAAGTTTCTTCGATTTCATGATTCTGACGAGCGCCTGACTTTACCGGAACAACACACACACATACATACATGCACACACACGTACATGCACACACACATACACTCACACACATACATACAAACACCACCTACAATACATGCATACACACATACATACAAATACTCATACATACACTCACACACATACATACACACACGCACATACATACATACACGCAACTCACACATACATACATACATACACACAACACACACTACGCACACACAGAGTCCCCCGGCGCCAGCTCTGCTCTGCTGCAACAACAGACCCA